CCCCAAAACCCCAAAACCCCAGAATGAATTTTCACAGCCAATTTAAGAAAATCTTGAATTGTAATAATAAATAGATTTTTATAATCTCAATAATGCCCAAATCCATTAAATATCGAGTTCTCTGAATTTCTTTAGAGCACTCTATCCACAATCTCTTACTGCAAGCAACTTGTGCCAAGTCTCAATTTGAAATAATCATAGTTAATCAATACTTTACTTTTCGCAGTCCACTGCATTATATTATTCTTTACATACTCATCACTTAGCAGCTTGATTTCTTTGAATAACTGGCACTCGCATTAGTGGAAATTTGTCTTATTTAAATTGCAAGGTATTATTCGCAAGTAAAATTCTTCTATGTCTATTGAGTTAATATATCCTTTGTTATTCTGGTCGTAAATTTGAAATGAGAATTTGTTTTTGTAATCTTAATTTCCATAGATTAGTGGATGCATTTTATCCAGAAATTGCTCCAAGTAAATTCTTTACTGAGGTAAAAAGCAAGTCAGGGCATGAAATACTCTGCGGGCGAGATATTTATTGTCGAGGACTGAGATGGAACCAAAATTATGAACAAATGAATCCTCATTGATAAAAGCAGTATCTCTGTTTTTGTCTTAGTGATTATAGGTCAGCTTGAAGAATGAATTCTCTATCTTCTCTATTTCTTAAGAACTAAATTTTTATCTTTGCTGCTTGAGGCTAACAGCTAATAGTCTTTGAATCGTTGATTCTCTAATTATAGTTGAATTTCTGTTTGCATGACTAGCCTTCCTTTCTGAAACTAGGAAAGATTTAATGCTGATGCCAGTTAAGTATTTAATTATATCATCAGCTATACTTGACACTCCATTGGGAAACTGCACTAATTGACTAAAGGCATGCTTTGATATTGAATCACACTTGGTATTTGAAAATATTCCATGCAATGAGTCCTACTTGCCAGTCGTCTGGGTGACAATAGCAGGCTAACCTTTCTAAAGCCCGCTCTCAATCAAATTAGTTGGAGCCTTAGGAGTGTTATTTTGGGATTACATCACACTAATGATGTTATTCAGCTTATCTATTTTATTACTTCGCTTCTACTAGTAAAATGCATTGTTCAAACTAGACTATACCTTAACGCCTGAGAGTAATTAAGACTAATTTAGCAGCTCGGCATTCTGATGTTTCTAACCAATAGCTCTGGTAACAATACAGAGATCCTCTGAAAAGGCGTTCATGAATACTTAATTCGAATGATACTCATCAGTAAAGAATGTCATCACTTGGAAAACATCATGCTCGCATATCTTTCCATTCGAACTAACATTGAGAACACTGAATGTTAGTTCCCCTAGTCTGCCATGAGTGTGCACGAGTTCATCTATCAACTTAAGATAGTGAAAGATATCGGTGCTATGAAAATTCTAATTAGTTTGGTCAAGGATATTAATAATCTTGTCAGCGATTATCTTCTTGTATCTCTTGGCTAGAAAGGATTTGATCAAAGCTTTATTAATTCAAAGATTTTTAAGTGCTACTTAGTGCTGACTATGCTCAGTACCTGCTTGACATATTTTTCTAAACGTATGTTCTATCTCCTCACTCTGATTGTTGTTTTTATGAATAAGCTACTAAAATTTGGGAATTTTTACGAACTAGTCGTCCGTTCCATTCAAAACTAATGAATCTGTATCTTGTCTACTGATGATCAACTCTTACTTATCCTGATTTTGAAAGCCAATCTTAAGTAAGTTGTTTATCTTAGGTGTAATTTGAGCTTTAGAGTGATGATTTGAAGACAGCTTTTAGCTCTGATTACTGAGCTTATCATTATCAATAAGCATTTGCATTGGTTGTTGCTTGTATTTGCTGTTGACAGGAGTTGCTATAAAACTCACTTTGTTTTGCAAGAATGATGCTGTGTGCTTACTTGATAAGTCTTTTACATTTAATCTGTGCTGCTGACTTTCATTATTAAAAGATCCACCTTGATTTGTAAGCTGCTTCATGTTGTCTTCTAAATCATCGGAGACTCCCGTAAATTTCTTAATTGTCATTATCATTCTGGCTGACTAATTTTGATTTTTCTTCTCCATTGAGTCATCCTCATCATCATCAAGTATCGCGAAGGACTATATCAGTTTCTTACTGTCCTAGTTTTAAAAGCTTTGCATCAGCAACCTAGACTTTCTGGGTTTCGTTGACTTAGGATGTAACTAAGTTACAACTGGACCTTGAATTGGCGAAAGTTTAGTAGGCTTTGTAAGTTTAATGTCTCCTAAATTGATGTTTGGGGATTATATCTATTATGTCTTCAGGAAAATCTCTGATTTATTTCGAAAGTGGGTTTAATTTGGCAGGATGTACTTCTTATAATAGTTATTGGCTAGTAGGATGGGGCTTTGCTTTCTTACAAAGCCCTTGTCCTGAGCTTTGTCAATGATGATCTTTTGCACTATTTCATCCTAATCCTTTAATTGATTGATAAAACTCATAACACTATGACTTCTTTACTTTATCTTATTCTCATTCTAAGCAGTTTGGTTGTTGAGATTGAGAGGTAATCCGTACTCAGTCTTGATCATCTTCAAGATAGAGTTTTCGAATTAAATTTTCATGTGCAATTACGAATAATTTTTATCTGAAGTTTTCAAATAATTATAATTTTATCTTTAAAACAATCAACTTCAAGCACTTAAATTATTGCTTCTTTATTTTAATAGTTAAAAAGACTATACATAATCATATTGCTCGATCAAACTTATTATTGATTCAAAGTTATTTCAATCCAAGAAGTAGAACACTCTTTCCTAAGCTGTATTTTCATCCCTCTTCTCATTAGTGTATCATTCAATATACTCAGTTCCTTTCTAAGGCACTTTTCTACATCATACATGCACATATAGGGACACAGAAATGATAAACCACCAGTGCAAAAGCAAAAACAGTATCCAAACATGAAGCATAGATCGCAAGGAATATATGCATAGATGGCATCATTTATTGTCTGAATCATTTAATCGAAATACTTCTATGAAATATATGAGCCCAGTATTTAGTGATCATAAACATAACTATATGATCTAGCAATTCCATTAATCCAGGTCTTTGATGCAGGTCTGATAATATAGATGTCAGAAGTTGATTTTGGGATTCTTTTGTTGAAAATGCAATCCATTTTGTTTAAATTAGAATTATGAAATTAAGATTATAATCAATCTGTATGCTTCAAATCAATAATTTTCCCCACCAGGTAAGAAGCTCTTTATTGAGAATGGAATTATAGAAGGATTTGAATCAGGCTTGCCTTCATTAATCAAAAAGATGCATGCTTCATTTTCTTCCTTTGCCATAGTAGGTCCACTTTGTCCATTCGAGGCTGGCCCTTTATTAGCTTCTGCTCTAGTTTCTGGTCTGCTAGTGTTGACATGACTTGATCTTAAAAGATTTCCATAGTTTCCATCCTAAACTTAGAAACAAGGATATAGAGACATTACAGGTTCTCTCAAGCTCATATCTTTAACTTATCTGAGAACTCCCAAGTTGACATTGAAAGAGAACACATCACTTGAGACTGTTTTGTTTGCAAAGCCAGTACTGGTTTCCACCAATTTCAGTCCACCTAAAAGCAAAATTTTTCTCTTGCTGACTTTATAGGATACTTGGCATGAAACAGGAATTGGAATCTACAATTCTAGCAAAGCCCATTTATTTTCTTTGAGTGAATATTGCTCAATAGATGACATGTAATATCCCTCTAGGTCTTCACCTCCAAAAACATAAATACCCTCCTCTTTAGAGAAAGCACAAGCACTGCTATTCATTCTGCTTTCATTAAGAGATGCAATTTAATTCCATTGCTCTTTGGCAAGGTCATACCTCTCACAGTGCTTTAATATTTTATCCTCCCTTGTCTTTCCGCCAATAGCATATACAAAACCCTCAAAAATATCCTTGTATGCCTTTTTGCTATCTGTCGAGTCGTCTAAATCTTCTTCCTCTTCATTGACCATAACTTTTGGATTATCCGTTCTTACTTTGTACTTTCTCGTGATTATGATAGAAGTTGGGAAGCATCCTCTTTGTTTCCTCATTGGAGTTAAGAATTAAGCTGTATAAACAGATTCAAAAGGATTGACCTGCTCTTCTTGAATCCTAAACACTCTGCTGCTAAAAGTAGATTTGCCCTAAACTTTGTTGTTATAACCTCCAAGGACAAAGAATTCGTTCATTTCACCAGAATATGTAATTGATGAAAATGGAAAGATGGGCAAGTCAAGGTTCTTGATTTAAGAAGATTACCATGTGTCTTTCTCGAAGTCAAATTCTGCTACTTTCTTAGAGAACCATCTAGGAATTGATATTTTCTAGGATCTTTTTTGTTCTTCTTCAGCTGGGTCATTATTCTCAGGTCTATTGTATTTTTATAAAAGTTAATTTGCAGACTCTTGCTTAAAGTTTAGATCTTTGAATTTCTTTGTAAGTATAGATATCTCTCTTTCAACATCGAGGCTCAAGAACTTCATGCTATTCTATGCATGTGTTGGGAACACCTTTTTAAACTCTTTTTATAGTTTGTTCGCATTTTTCTCTTTTATATGGTTGTAATAATCCAGAAATTTTCCAGTCTTTACAAAATTCTTAATGATCTTGCTCTCAATTGATTCTAAATAGTTTTAACTAACCTCAGGATTAGCTAATGCTATAAATTCCTCTCTAAGGCCCTAAATTTTCTTAATATACTGCATATTTTCATGAATTTTTTCGCTCACATATTCAATCTTATTCTTATTAAAAACGAGATCTTTTTCATATGCAATGTTATATTAGCATACTATATGTAGATATCTGTCATCAAGGTACTTCTTTAAGGACTCTATTTTTTACTTCTACTCTGCTAAGAAGTTCTTTTTAGAGTTATTTAAGTAGTCAATTTAAACTTCGTGCTTCTTAAGAATATTGCTCTTTGATTTAAGGATCTCTTATAGATTTTACTCAAGATTTAGCAGTACTGTTTAGACGTGCTTTATTTAGTCTTCAATCGAAATGAGATTATGATCCTTAGCAAAATGCTCAATCATGCATTCAGAGCATAACCCATTTTAGTCATCTCTACAAATAAACTTAATTGGTCTGAGTGGATGATTAAAGCAAGGGTTAATTATCTTAGTCCTATTTTACGGGTTCTCTTCTAGCTGGCATTAGGTGTGAATTTTCTTCATCAACTCAAAGTCTATATTTGACTCAGTTTATTCAAACAAGACTTTAGACATCATTTTATCTGCTCTCTCAAGATCATCATCAAATTATGACTATGGGAAGTTTCTTGCAGTCATTGTAGCAGCATTAAGATTGTTTTAACTTGTCTATAGTGAGTCTAAGACTAGTCTATTAGATGTTATTCTTTTTGCAAGATGATTTGTTTTGGTCTTTTACTATAGATTATCTTATGTTATAAGTTTCGATAAAGTATGATTCCTAGTTAATGTTTAGCTCTGCAAGCGAGGTGTAGTTGAACAAGATCTTGGTTTTATGTCAGTTTGGTACTTAGCTGAAGCAGATAACCCTTTAAAATTAGATTACTTGTTAATAAGCGTTGGATAAAGCATCTGCTAAATTTTTTCTTAATTCATTTTAATTATATTTCAAATAAAAACTTGCACCTAATAAGCTGATTTTTTAAATTTACGGGGTTTTGGGGTTTTGGGGTTTTGGGG